ACGTCCATCGAGCATTGACGGTGCTTGTTGTCTTCTATGTTGACAGGCAGCATTTCATCGTTGCTCTCCCTGATGATGTTTGTTAATTGCTTTGGCTGATCTTCAACAAAATGCTGATGATCTGAAATAGAATAGTGAGATACCAATGGCCAATAAGAATTGAAGGTTAAGACTACTCTGCTGATTCTTGAACGGATGAGAAAACTTCTGAATAGAAATTCATTCATTCACGACGACCAAGATAAGTAAATGAATTCCCTCCCTTTTTAAAACCAATTCATAGTTTCTTCCCAAGAGAACAGTGCATAAAACATCTAAAATAAGCGAATTATACAGATTCTAACTTTCTGGCGGAATGATTCACTCACCTGACAGTGAACCAGACCTGATGAACCATAAAATGATGAAGCTGTAAGTGCCGGCATGCACACCTCCAATAGGAGGCAGGGGGGTGAATGCAAGGAAGGGATGTTTGGCAAGGGGATGCAGCATCCTTTGCGGAGAAAAATCATTTCCCAACATGTTGAGAGATAAGAGGGTTAAGAGTTAAGACTATATAAAACTAGCATAAGCAGGATTTCTTAAATTTTTATTGTTTGTTTTACAGGCAATCTTGCGAGGGTTGAAGTATTTCAGTATGCAGCATCCTTTAGTGCCCCCTGTCTAATTTTAAAAAATCAATTAAATTTTCCTAGTCTAATAAAAAACCTCACTACTTTCTGTCATTACCCCTTACCACCAAATGTGATAGAATTGCATCACTACCTATGATGGAAAACAGTAACCAGAATGCCTGTAATACATCAAGTAAAATGATGAACATATCTATGTTCATGTAAGGAACATAGAGGAGAATATTGACCAAGCGCTTCTAGAACATAATAATTTGTTGAACAATTCCCAGTTGCCTCCCCTCTGATCTAGATATCCTGATTCCAAATTCTCAAACAACAAAGAAAAAAAAAAAAGATATCCTGATTCCAAATTCTCAAACAACAAAGAAAAAACAAAAAGGAGGGAATAAAATTTATGAAAGTGTATAATTTACCCATTCTGTTGCTCTGTTTTGGTGTTGCCAAGACAGCTTGGTTTCCTGCAGAAAGAAAGAAAATAATTTCAGATTGTTTAATAAAAATGGAGTTATGCCTCGCACCAATGCTGGAGGCTTTATACAAGGATTGGCATCCAACATTACAACTCATTTTGACACATGTATTTTGGATGCTGGCTGATCTAAGGGGGAAAAAAAAAGAATATTTAACGTTTACTGCAAAGGAACCTTCCATAGACTCTGCTTGGTATCAGGAGATGAATGGGCAAGTTAATTCTGCCTCAGTTCTACAGTACAAGAGGGGACATCTTAACTTTATGCATGCCAAATGTGCATCCAATGGATCAGTGTTTTCCAAAATTGATGTTCTGAATACTTCAAATGATGATATTAAGACCTGTATGAATATAAATAGGTTAACACAGCCACCCATAGTCACATGCAAAGTTTTTTATACCATGGATATTCTAAGGATACACACAGCAACAACTCCCTGATAAGTTATCCTGTAAACACAGGGTTCCCCATATAGCTGACCAATCACCCTGTATAGAAGAGACAGAAACTTAAGAGGTCTTAAATTTCCTACAAGCTTACCATGCCATGTACTGCACCACAAACTTCCTAGTATTTAAATATTAGACCTACTTATTTCCAAGCTTGGCTTGCTCAAATCTTCAGCATGTACTTTGATTTCATAACCCACAGTATGGAAGGATCGTGCAAGGCATTTTGCAATATGATAAGTAATTTTCAAATTGCTTATAAATGATCCAGAATTGTCTGAACCCACATGTGAATCACTGCAGCCATGAAAATCAAGATACAATCTAAATCTTCACGTGGTTTTTCAGAGATTATGGATATATTTTGTGGTTTCCCATTCCTATCTGACAAATTGGCAGCACTTCAACAGTAGATCACCAATAGGGTTGGTATGCCTTATTATTTAGGACTCAATTGTTGTTTCTTTTTCCTGCTTGAAAGGATGTCTTATTCTACATTTATTTATTATTCCTTTTCCATCTTTCTAATAAAAATTTCTTCTTTCATGTGAAAAAGGAAATACCAAAAATGCTTTCATAATCAAAGACAACAATGCTCCATTCCCCCAGTTGTAAATACCAGACCAAATAGATGCATGCACACACATGCAGTTGCATGTTGTAAATATGCACCCACTTGAGGAGAAACAAAAAAAATTCACCTTCTAGGAGTGCAACATCACTGGAAAGAAAAACTGAATGTTACTAACATACCTGCAGAATTCTTGCTGAAAGAAATCCAAGTCGAAGTTTTATTTGAAGCTACATCAAAATTGGGAATTTCCAAAACTCCATCCAGAGATGATTTTGGTGAACCATCATTTCCTTGTTTTATATTCACTGGAAAATCCTCTGGTGCAGGCTCATCTTCTATCTCATCGGCTATGACTTTTGGAATGTCAAGCAATAGCCGTGTCTGTTCATCAGGAGTCTCAAGCAGCTTCTTTCTTTCCAAGTAATCAAACAGTGTAAAAGCTCAAGCGAGTTAAGGATTCAAAATATAATGCTGCAGCAGGTAGACAAAGCAAGAGGAAGTGTAATGCAGGAGTAGATGAAAAGATGAACATGGGGTGGTGCATTTCTACAAACGAAGTCCTTTGGTGATATGGTTTATTATAGAAGGCAAAAAAGAAGGAAAGGGAAAACTTTGACTACTTGTTTGAATGTAAAATGGTTCCTTGAGTTTAAAAAAAAAAAAAAACATCTATATGTATTAAAAAGAAAAGAAATTTACATGGGAAAAAAAAAAAAAACCCATATCCTTTTTCATTTTGAGCAGCCTCAACACACTCCCTTTTCCTTTATTATGCTCTGATTGACCCTCAACTTTTTGGCTTTGAAATCAAATTGTGACTAGTTTCTTCACAATACCAAAAAAAGAAGAACTATGACATGCATACAATGATTCCTATGATTTGAATTTCCTCAAGGAAATTGTGATAGTTATCCAACTCATCCACAATTTATTACCTGAAAAAATGTGACTAGTAGCCTACAGCTTTTAAGAAGCAAAGCTTACCAGTCTTAACCAACATCGGTGGGCAGCAGCCAAAGCCATGCAATTATTGAGCAATTTTCATTTTGAGCAGCCTCTACACGCCCCCTTTACCATTATTACACTCTGATTGAACCTCAACTTTTTGGTCTTCAAATCAAATTGTGACAAGTTTCTTCACAATACCAAACAAGAAGAATGATGGCATGCATACACGATTCCTATGATTTGAATTTCCTCAAGGAAATAGTGATAGTTATCCATCTCATCCATGTTTAATTACCTGAAAAAATATGACTAGTAGTCCACAGCTTTTAAGAAGCAAAGCATGCCAATCTCAACCAACACTAGTGGGCACCAGCCAGAGCCATGCAATTATTGAGCAATTTTGCTACTACTAATCATAGAGACTCACAACTTATTTGATAAGCTCAATTGGATTGATTTTTGTCATGAAGTACAGTGTTTCTTGCCGATAATCAGTGTCTTGTTATATTTATAATAGAGTTTAGACTGGATTATTTTAGTCTGGGAAACTTAATATATAATTCATTATATGTTGACTTCATAGAAACCAGAGGGAACAGTAATACCAAGAAAGGATATTCTCTACGCCAACCCTTTTCATTTGCCCGATCAATGAGCTTTTGAAGAAAAGCAAGTTCTGCACGAAGCCACTGAAACAAAAAATAGAAGAATCCACATTAGTGGCTAAAAAATAGAAGAATCAAACCTTAAACAAATCATGAGGAACATGCATGATCCTCTGTATAGATGCTGGAACCAGTATTTGAAGTGGCTTTTCTGTCACAGTGCATATAAGATAATTACATTTAGCAATTTAGCAAGCCAAAGCACATTAAAGAGAAACATAATGGACTAGTGAAGAATAGCAATGGACTGGTGAAGAATGGCTTCTTCCACACCAACATTTAAAGTCTGAGGAGGTTTTCATAAAGCATGTATGATGATTGGCAATCGACATAACAAATCAATAAAAAATGACATGTTCCATCAGGATTCCTTGTTCAATGAAAAAAAAAACATTTATAAATGTTATAGCATATCTAAAAACCTCAAAACAACAACAACGTAATAAACAATTCAAGCCACCATCTTCGAACATTTGGCGATTTCTTACTTCTTGCTCTGTCAAAATAAAGAAAGAGCTAAGAACTATTTATCTTACAATACCATCAATGTAATGATTGTTCCTGTTATCATTTTGCATGGCATTCAGCACAAAAACTGTGACAAGAAATAGGCATTAAGGAACGGCACAACGTTATAAAAGTTGAGACTAGGTGTTTCACAATTAACCACATTTGAGATAATAGATTTCTGAGTTGGATTCCCAACTTACTAGTGAAGTAATTCACTTCTATAGCGCAACCAAACTTGAGATGAATCAAGGGGCAAAATAAAGTGCTTGAGATTTTTCGTTATCAATATAAACTTGCTAATCTTTATAATTCAATACTTCAAAAGTATAAATATCAATTTTGCAATGCATATTTAAGGCTCTCTTTTTCCTGCAGTATCTACATATCTTTTTTTTCTTTTATACTACAATGGATAAAATTGCAAGATCATGGTCAATTAGCATTACAATCCCCTGCAAGCTTGCATACAACAACATTTTGATGAAATTATAGTTCAGAGGTTCATGCCTGGTTTATCATTTTCATTTAAAATGCAAATGCACATTGTCAACATCTTAATAAATGCACTCTTAAGTTTTTCATATTGGAACATCAAGAATGTTTGTACTTTATATAGGGTTCCTGACACATCAACCTCACTAGCAAATCAGTACAGAAACATTCAAAAACCTGTAAGCAAATATGAACTATGAGGAGAACAGAAACAAGAAAAAGGGACAAACAACCATTTTGTTCATGGTTAAGTTTTCCTTTTAGTCAAGTACCTACATGCTTTGTTATATCTTCATGCAAAACTTGAGCCTTCTCTTCAAGCTCTACCTGTAAGAAGTTTAAAAGGTACATTACCAAAAGATTGAGGGATGGGGAACGTTAAAACAGACAACTCAATTACCAAGGCACGCAAGACACATCTTGTTATCAGGTTCGAAAATATACTAATAAATAAATCTAGAGAGCCAGATGTTGAAGCCATGTCATAGACTTTCTTCATGCAAAGAGAATAGTGGTTACTAGTATTGTGACCCGTGCTTCGCCACGGGTCGAATAAATTTTTTTGTGGCAAAAAACAAAAATTAAATATGTCAGCTCTTCAAATTTATTTAAAAAAAAATTATAGTTATAAATCAAAAGGCCTACGAGAATTATTTGTGTCAATAAACGTAAAAAACAAAGTGTTAACGTGTTTATTCAACTCGTCTAATTAAAGATTGAATAATTTTTTTCCAACACAAAAAATTAATGTATAGGTGTTATTTACATGTTTTTTTACATCAAGTAAAAAATATAACCGTGAATCACAAAGTGGATGCTTACATATAATAAAATATAATAAAAATCATATGCATTAATAAAAATATGTAAGATCTCAAGTTTTTTTTAACATAAGCCAAAAAATGAAACAATGTTGCAATTGCTACAATGAAACATCATTTCCTTAATCTATGTAGAATAAATTTCCAAAAACAAAAGGTTTAAAGAAGAAAAACATTAAAAAACAAATTATAAAAGAATAAAAAAAATGAACAAAAAGAAAGGTATAAATAGGCCACGTGTAAAGAATAAAAAAATAATATTTTTTTTCCAAAAAAAGTGTAAAGAAAAAAATGGAAAAACTAAAAAAACATTAAAATCATGAATCTGGCATGGAGGTTTAAAAAAAAAAAAAAACAAGTATGCACGTTGCTCCAATGTATTGTTTTACATGAAAAATTAAAAGTATCAATTGAAAAGCCTATATAATCATCTAACAAAATATATCGATAATCATTTATATAAATAAAAAAAATCGTTAAAAATAACCAAGAAGAAAACTATAAAGATAAGATATTTACCCGATTATGTTTACTAAACTTTTTAATTTAAATAAATAAAAAATAAATTCACCCTAAAAAACTCATGGCTTAAACGATAAATACAAACAAAATAATAGAATAAGCCCATACCATAAAACATATTATAAAAAGCCGAACACATCAGAAAAATATAAGAAATGGACACTTGCCGATATGATGGAAACATTTAAAAAAAAAAGACATTAAAAAAAGCCTCAAATGAGCCCAGCAGCCAACCCAGGTGAATAAATCAAACATATGACCTGGGATATAAAATTGAGATAACCCCATAAATAGCAAAGAGAAAAAAATACTAGCAAAAAAAGAATCTTTGAAAAAAATTCTTCAAAAAAACACTAAGGCGACCCGGATTAATCTTTCAGATCTATGACCTGAGTCACTATATTAGGGTAACCCCATTAAAGACAAACTTGAGAAAAACAAAGAAGCAAGATTCTCAATCAAACAAATATTGAGGGATGAAAATGAAGGAAAAAAGTCAATAAAAGAAACAAAGCAACGCAAAACAAATAGCAATTAAAAGAATTAGAAATAAATTCAACATAAAAACCAACTGAAATTAAATGTTTAGGGATGGAATTGAAAAAAAACAAATCAATTAAAAAAATAACAATTAAAAGAATTACCACCAAACTTGACATAAAAATTCAATGAAAAGAAATGCTCAAGGATGGAATTGAAGAAAAACAAATAAATCAAGAAAATGATTGAAAACCAGAAAAATAGCAATTAAAAGAATGAAGATCAAATTTGATTAAAAAAAAACTAACAAAATCAAACAACTAGTGATGAAATCAAAAATAAAATCCAATTAAAAATAATCAATGTAAATAAAACAATTGCAATTAATAGTAGAATGACTGAATCAAAATAAAAAAGAAATTGAAGCTAGTATAATTTTTTGCATGGCCAGCATGCAATCTGAGGAAAAAAATGAAGGAAAAGAAAGAAAGGAAAAAAAAAGTTAATTGGTGCTACCCTTAGAAGAAGAGGAGGAGGAGGCCAAGACACATTAAATGATGTGGCGAAAGCCTGATTTCAACCACCATCGTCTTCCGCACTTGCTGCCAGAAGGCAGCAAAGCGGCAAGCATCAACAGCCTTTTTTTATGTTCACAAAACCAAAAATACCACTATGACTAAACAAGAATAACAAAAAAAAAACCCTTGTGAAATCACAACCAAGCTTTTGATGCCAAGGCTAAAAAATTTGAATGGCAAGGGTAATGGAGTAATCAATTGTTCATAAAATTATAAAACAAAAAATGCCCCTAGAACTACATAGCAATAAAATAAAAAATAAAAAAAAACCATTAGTAAATGACAATCAAGCCCCTGAAGCCAAGGCTAACAAATTTGCATGGTAAACCTGTGTAATTCAATTATTCATGACAAAATTGAAATTACCATACAACCCCTAGACCAAAGGTTCTGATTTTTTACTCTCTAAGGGCAATACAATTCTTATTAAAAAACAATGAAAAGTCGGTGCTGCCCCAAACAAATCAAGAATGACCAATTAGTTGTGTGCAAAGACTATCCTACCCCTCAAGTAAAGCTTTAAAAATGAAAGGATGAAAGGTAATGGGGTAATTTCACTGTAGCCTTAGACACATTTCACTATAAATAGACCACAATGAAAAACCCACACAGTTTAGTATTTTACTTAATTATTTTTCTTCTCTATCCATGAAATTTCTTTACCAATCAAATATAAAGCTTAGGGCGTGAAGAAATCCATACAAAAAACAAAAATATTGTTCAACATAATTCAGTGAGAATAACCAGAGCTATAGAGGAAACACTACAAAACTAGGCAAGGGAATAGATAACTTACAATAGTTGGCCTCTTGAGTGAACCATCTCTTACTCTCTGATTCAGATCTTCACATTCTTCCTGCAACCAACAGAAACAAGGCTAAGAGTGAATGCCTACACCTTGACGTAATTGTCTATGAGCTTACATTTTGCAGAATCTTATCTGCAGCTACACAACAAAAATTTGGACACTGTTATCCACACCATATATGGCAGCTGCATCAGTCTCCAACTTCTTATCGATACATTCAAACCCATTTCTCAAGACCCTCACAAGACCTCATATTAAAAGTGAAACTCTAACTAAAAAGAACACAGAACCATGGTCTAATTTATTAAAAAAGCATTGATTCCTAGCACAGAATATAATTGGTTACTTGATATCAGATGAGTTTTAACACTTGTAAGCATCTGCAAAACTTCAACGAAAATATGGGGCCACTAAGCACTCACCAAGAAGAGAAGACAGTACCATATCTAGCTAGGTATCAGAGCCAATACAACGTGAAAACTAAGCAGTACTTAGAAAGAGCTAGCAAAATGTGTCGCTTACCTTAGAAAAGTTATCATCTGAAAGCATAGATATGCGGACATCTTTCATATAATTTGAAACTTCAAGAAGCATTTCAGTGTTAATACAATTAGCTCTGGAAGACTCCACTAAACCTAGAGAATAGACAACACAAACACCAAAAGTTAATCATCGATAGTAGAGATCAACAATTCCTAACAAATGTTTCCCTTCCAACAAAAATAATTAACACGTGTAATCCAATCCAAATATACCAGCATCGGTGGAATAAAAGAAATAATAATGATATCAAAGTGAATTAGCAAATAGAAGCTCAGAGGGGTTCATAAATAAGTATTGTTTTATAGCATAAGCAAAGGATGCAAATAACAGTAAGTAACCAACCAGTGACCTGCACGAGCATGTGAGAGTTTTTCTGGAGGTAATCATTAGGATCAGACTTGATTCTCACAAAGCTTCCAACAATTTTGCTTTGAAATGTTTCGGGGTTGTTCTTGGCAAGATCCTGAACCAAAAGCCTCTTCAAATAAACAAGCTTAATGTTATCAGGAACAATAGCAGCAAAACAGCTCTTGGGAGCTTCAAAAACCCTTTTCTTAGAATGGCATTTTCTATCCGAGGCTAAACACTTGTGGCGCTGGTAGGCATTATTATCCTCGTCATCATCCGTAGTATCGAAGAAATCATCGTCAGAACCAACTTTGTTTTCAGCAAAATGGGGTTCGAGGAGGTCATAGATTCGGATTCGATTGATTGTCTTCCTTCCAAAAAGAGGAAGAAGCCATTCATCGCAAAGAACCCTCTTCTTTTTGGTGGGGTGGAGGAGGTTGCGGTCGTTGACATACTTGTTAATGATGGCGGTAACATCGTACTGAGAAATCTGATTGGTGGTACCTGTACCAATAGATTGAAGGAATTCAACGAGGAGAGTGGAGCCCCATCCAGTAAATTCCAGTTTCCTAGGCGTTCGAGCCTTTCTTTTGGAGGTTGAAGGGGGAGCAAACAGTGGGGGGCCATCTGTATATTCTTCCATCCAAACAAAATCACCCATTTTTTTTCTTTTATTGATAATAATAATCACTCCCCTCCTTCACTAGTAGACTGCAGCTGCATGCAGACAGAATATATAACAATAATTGGTGATCATAATGATAATACCGTGAAGACAGAAAAGGCATCCATCCATCCGGTACATAAGAGAGAGAAAGCAGAAATTGATTGAATACACAGAAAAGAGGAGAGGAGTGAATGCAAATTATATAATAATAATAATAATAATCCAATTTTTAATAGGACACGAAAATGAAAAGGAATGGGAGCGAAACCGAACAAAAGCAGAAATTGAGTTAAATTCAATAATAGTAGTAGAAATTGATTTAAAAAATTAAGTAAAAAAAAGAAAACAGAAATTGGCTTGCATTGAATGCAGAGAAAGAAAGGAAATGGAAGAAAACGTACCCTTTTATTTACATGAAAGAAAGGATAGTTTCTCCGCTCAACTCCTGCGGCAACTCTGCTCTATCAGTCTATCGCTTCGCTGCATACTCGCCTCTCTGGAAACACCGGAGAGTGAAGAACAAGGGCCAGGAGAGAAGGAAAGGAAAAAAAACGGACGTAGGCAGGTAGGGACTAACATGTAATCTGCCTTTGCTTGTCTTTCTTTCTTGGGCTTATTCGCAAATCAGCAATCACCTCGCTGGCCCGTTCTTACGATTACCGGCTGGGCCTTTCATTTTCCATTTTTTCAGTTTCCAACCCCTCTCACTCCCGTCAGTACCATTTATCTTTCTTTTCTTTTTTTAACATCTTTATACCTAGTTAGTAAATCAACAAAATAGATAAAAAAAATTAATTAAAACATAAAAATAAGA